GACACCCGCCAGAGCAAAATCATTGAGGCTCCCTTCAAGATATATAGGTGGTTTATGAGCATGTGCAGTAAGCTCATGATGTCGCAATTTCATTATCCATTGGGCCTCATATATTAGGCACACCACTGATTTAACAAAAGAAAATCGGCTTGTGGCAAAAGAGGTAAAAGGCAACTCAAGGCAGCATATTGTGGAAGAAAACTGACCAAGGACAGAAGAACTCGGATAAAAAATCATTCTAAATCTCAAGTCAGTAACTAGTTGTGGCTTAACTACAGCATCAGTAATTCCCATCAGCAAATCCCTTGGAGTTTTGATAGAAAAATGACCATCATGATAGAGACAATGATGCCCCATTATAAAAAATGATACATGTACAATAGCCAGATGAAGCCCTTTGATCATGAGTTATAAATTGAGCATGAGCAGTGTGAAATTTGAACACAGACAAATGTCTTGCAGTAGGAAAAACTGAAAAATTGTACAAGCATAATGGCAATATATGCTCTGTTGACTTGGAGCTGTTAAATTGGGCACTCTTAATTTAAACACACAAGATTTTCCACCATTCATATGATTTTGCAGGAATTTAAGCGGTGTCACAATGGCAAAACAGAATAGCAGGGAAGCTATTTAAGGGCAGCTTCAACAAGTTGCACAGACTCATTGCTTGTAACATCTCCAGGGTCAAAGATAACAATGGAAAAGGCAGGATCAATGCAGCAGAGGTCAAGCACAGCAACAAGTAATTGAGAGATCTTAGTAGACAAATTGAAGCTACAATGTCTTTTAACTTGTCCAGTGTCATAAACCAATCGCATATCCAAATATTCTTTAACAGATTGAAGAATGTAGTGCCCCAAAATCAAGGGTGAAAAGAGATAAGAAAAGCCAAAACCCTCAATTGATAAGAGTTTGTTAATCGATAAATGTGAACCTGTCGAACATTGAGGTTGGGAAAAGGAGAGTGAATGAGGCGAAGGAGGAAGCTCACCAATAAAATTTGCGGATGAAGGAAGGTCCAGATTGATAGACCCCATTTGAAGACAAGAAGAGGCAAACTTGTTGAGCAATTCGTCCTCTATGCTATCATCCAAGCTTGCTTCAAACACTAAAGATCCTTGAACATTTTGACTAATATAGCCCATCATAATGCAAAGTGGTTGGGTGTGACTTGGAATTTGGATGGGTTTGAATCGAATAGGTGGTTTGACCAACTCTACAGCACCCATTGGAACTGCTAGCGAGTCTGTGGTAGAACTCTTGGAGTCTAAGCTGCATGACTTGGTGAAATCGCCAACTTTGATAAATTCTTCTTCAACATCGGCTGTGCACATCAACATCATTGTGGAATCAGTAGAGGTGAAATCTTTTAACTCATCTGTTGGGCTAGGGTTTGATTGCAGAGTGACCTGAGAAGGTGGCCACTGTGTATAATCTTAGTGTGGAGTCTTCATAGTTGGAGGTTCGTCCACTAGTCCTAATCGATGATTGAGAGCCGAAATCCTAGCTATAAGATTGTCAAGGCGAGAAGTATCTTTATAGCAGCAAGAGCAGTGTCCAGGCGAGAGGAAACATAAGATTGTTGCTGTTGCTCCATAGAAGTCGATTCTCTCAACGAGAGCACCATTGTCAGACTCAAAATATATAAACACATTTTTGCTAAAAAATCTCAATACAAAATCCAGATTTGGTAAAAGGAAAATTACAGAACTACAAGATTATAGAAATAAGGGGACGTAAAGAAAAAGTAATCATAGAAGAAGAAGAAATTCCATAGTCACAGTGACAATGGCCAGAGGGAAAGCGAAGACAGCAGAGAGAGTGCTCATAAATTTCCTCGATGCCTCTCACTATCGCCTTACCACTTCATATACCCAATTCTTCCCATTAACCTCTTAACTCTTGAGCCAAATAGTAATCTCAGGCCCATCGATTGACAACTCAACCCAGTCTATATGTTTTGTCAAACCCATCCATGACAAAAATATTTCATTTGTGTGAATATTATTATTTAAAGTATGTGCTGTGAAAAATTAATTCTTTTTTGTCAGGGCATCATATTCAGCTTTGTGAAGTCTTTGGTAATTTGACTTGTTAGACTTGTGCGTGTTAAAAAGGGGAAAATTACAATTAAGATTTTTTTTTTGTTAGAGACAATTCAAATAATTGGTCATTATAAATATATTTGCTAGTGACAAAAATAGTGTAGATGTTAAATTATAATTACATATAATCAAAATTCTTTTCTAGCTCATAATTCTGGTAACTTTTAAAGTCTTCCAATACGGACTTATGATTCACGTCTTAGAAAAAAATGTAAAGCATAGAAACACTGTTAATTTTGTATTAGACATAATCCAGCTAGCTTTTTGAAGTCTTCCATCATCACTAACATAATATAGTAAAAAAAATTTATAGTGATAATCCAAACCTTTTAAGTCTTCCACTATTGACTTGGTGTTGTCATGTCTATCTATAACAACATACAAACACATATAATTATATAGTAATTTTTTATTAGACATAATCCAGCCAGCTTTTTGAAGTCTTCCATCATCACTAACATGTGATAATCCAACCTTTTTAAGTCTTCCACTGTTGACTTGCAGTCCTAGAACCTCTATTACAATTCTGCGCACTTATCTTTTCATTCACTTGTTTGCTTGTGTATATTAGGAATATAATGCCAATGTCCTTCATTTCTTGTCGTTAATTCACTTCTTGCTTCATAAATTTGTATCCGTCGAGACATAGACCACATCAACTTGCCACGCTCGTTCCGTCATTGCTATCATTATAATTCTGAAAGCGTGGCTATGTATATCAGACTGCACATGAGAGGGGAAAGGAGGGTGCTGCGTTTGGTTTGGATTTTTTTTTTTTAAGCAAACATTTGAATAATTAATTCTTAATGGAAATAATCTAAAAGGGGAAAAAATCAAGCGCCAAGTGGTCCATACATAATCCATATTAATCAATCAAAAATAATCTAAATAAAAAAAATATGGGAATACAAAGTCAAAACAAAATTCTTGAATAAGTATTTTTCCTGAGTAGTTATAGGCCAGTATATTCATGAATTACTACCCAAATTCAATTATGATACCCAAGTCACTTCTTAATTGGTGACTATAAATAATTTACTAACATCTAAAAATACAAATAAAAATTCAATAAAGATCTTCACAAGTTTATCATCATCCCTCTCAATTTCAATATAATGAATGCACCTTAAAATATCAAGTTCAACTGTAACATTTTCTATAACCATATGTTTAAAATTTTTCAGTACTCATCTTTTATGTTTTTTGCACTAACTTTTATTTTTTTAATACCAAACACATCAAGTACTGAATATAACAAAATGATGACTACTGAAAATGTTAAGCATCAGTGCTGAAAAAAGCAAACTAAAAATATATTTTATTTCAAGTAAGGACTTTGGGCTGTGTCTATTTACATTTCCATATTTAAGGTCCTTAATTATAAGTAATAATCTTATAGTGTCTCTAAATGTCCTTTGTGCTTTTCTATAATAAGAAAAAAATATATGAAAATGAAAAAAGTACTTTAACGAAAATGAATGTGTATTAAGAATGAAATATACAGACAATGTATAATAGATAAATCAATTATAAGAAACACAAATCTTTTTAATAATTGTTGATAATTTATTAGCTCGCTTTAATTATCACATTGGGTTCAACCTAATGGGGTTTCGTCTTTAAGAAAGGCGGGGGATATCTGGTGCATATGAGTGCAAATATTTTTATTTTTAAATAATTCAAAATAAGAAAAAATAACATAAAATAAAATATATTGCGAATTGTGTCAAATTATAAAACTTATAATTCCACCTCGTGCTATACATGGTTTAGTCATCAAGTGCATGATGTGCTTGACTTGTATTACATAAATATTATCCCGTCAAAGAAGTTGATGCAACAAAAGAGAAAGAAAATTATGTCAGTGATTGGGGGGGGGGGGGAAGCTTTGCCCCAAAAACTTGTATGTTATCACTTCAAAACCATATTTTTATTACCATGACATAGGTCATGATAGACCAACCCAAAAAGTGTGTTAGTGATATGTCCCTTTGGGATGAATATAATTTCACTTCTTGGGCTATATTTTCATTTTCATTGCATTATTTCATTTATGGCCATATATAGAGGGCAACCCCAAATAAACGTTAATCGTGGAAAGACTTGTTAGTAGGCATAAAAAACAAAAAATCTTTGATTGGATATCAAATATTTTTAGACTTGGATTAGATATCTATCATCATTTATAGGTGTACAATAAATAACGTGCTTGACTTGTGAGTACGTAGTGGACATCAAAGTCACTTTCCATTTTAGTGCAAAATGTTACTTTACTAAAAGGAAGGAAAAAGAAAGCAAGTGGTAAGTCGTCCATACTCCATATTAGTCAATAAAAAAATATAAGAAGACGAAGTCAAAACAAAACTCTTGAATAAGTATTTTTCTGGAGTAGCTGTAAGTATATCCAAGAATTATAAACTATGTATCCAATAATAATATATACAACAAAGATATACAATTAATTAAGATTCTGATGATGATGATGATGATAAGTATTTTTCCTGAGTAGATGTAAGCTAGTACATTCATGAATTACTCCCTGAATTCAATTATGATACCTAAATCAATTTTTAATTATTGGTGATCCGTAACTATAAATAATTTACTAACATCTAAACGTACAAATAAAAATTTAATAAAGGTCTTCGCAAGTTTATCATCATCCCTAAAACTCAATTCCAATATAATGAATGACTTTAAACTATAAAACATAACAAATTATAATTTCTTACTAATAGATTGAGATTGTTGATGCATCAAATTATCTCTCCCCAAAGGGCCTTTATTGCAAGAAAATTGATCAACGATAATGTTGTAATTGCCCATGAAGTTTATCATTACCTTAAGTATAAAAATTCTAGCAATAAATGGGAGTTTGCTTTGAAGGTTGATATGAACAAAGCATATGATAGAGTAGAATGGGATTTCGTGGACGCTGTGATGTTGAAGATGGGTTTTTCTAAGCTGTGGGTTAAGTGGCTTATGAAGTGCATCTCTTCTGTGAGATTTAATCTATTGGTTTCTGGCAGGAATGTGGATTGTTTTGAACCAAAAAGGGGTGTAAGACAAGGTGATCCACTTTCACCTTATCTTTTTATAGTTGCTGTTGAAGAATTGTCCTTAATGGTTCAATATCATGTTGTGAGGAAGGATTTGAAAGGGGTAAAGTTGGCTCAGAATGCTCCTATGGTTTTTCATTGTCTCTTTGCAGATGATACTTTGTTCTTTATGAATGGTAGTAGAGAGAATTGCTTGGTACTTAAGAGGATTTTGCAGACTTATTGTGCAGCTTCAGGGCAGAAAATTAATGTTGACAAATATTGCATTTTCTTTTCTACTAATACTCCCTAGCATGTTAGAGATGAAATGGAAGAGGTGCTTGGTATTAATTCTAAAGATCAACCAGGGAAATATCTTGGTCTACCAGTAATACTTGGTAGATCAAAAGCAAGTGCCTCAATTTTTGTTAGAGATAAGATTGGTCAAAAACTACAAGAGTGGAAGCAAAAGATGCTTACTTTTGCTAATGAAGAGATATTGATAAAAACAATAGCAAATGCAATACCTACTTATCCTATGTCTTGCTTTTCATTTCCTTTGAAAGCTTGTAAAGAGATAGATAGGTTGGTTTCAATTTTTTGGTGGGAAGGGGGAGAAGGAGGTGGTGGTTTGCATTGGAAAAGGTGGGATGCTATCACTGAGTCCAAATCTGATGGGGGAATGGGATTCAGAGATTTGAAATGTTTTAACAGGGCTTTGCTTACAAAATCAGCTTGGAGGTTAATTCAAAATCCTGATGATCTTTGGTGCAGAATTTTGAAAGGTAAATACTTCCCTAATTGTGATTTTTTGCAAGCTAAAAAAGATGGTCGTGCTTCTTGGTGTTGGTCTAGCCTCCTTGAAGGAAGGGATTTGCTATTGAAGGGGATTTGTTGGAAGGTGGGGAATGGTCTAAGTGTGAGAGTTTGGGATAGTTGCAAGATTCTTGATCTTCCAGGCCATAAATTGCAAGCTGTTCCTAGAAATGATGCTCAGAAGAAGTTGTTGGTTATTGATTTAATTTGAGATGGCAAATGAAACTTGAGTCTCATTAAAGATAGAATTTCGAGAAAAGAGAAAGAATCTATTTTGAAGATCAAAATTCCTGTTGGGAATGTTGCTGATTTTTGTTTATGGCTTGATACTAAGGATGGAATCTATACTGTGAAATCTGGTTACAAAATGGACAGGAAGAAGGGGGATGTGAGAATGCTGAGTAAGCCTAGCACTTCTTTTCTAATTTCTAGGAAGATATGGTCTGGTTTATGGAAGATTAATGTTGCTCCGAAAATTCAACATTTTTTATGGAGAATGATTAGTGGGGTTGTGGCTGTTAAAGTTGCTCTTTTTAGAAGGAAATGTTCTAGGGATTCTATATGCCCTGTCTGTGGTGAGCATGATGAGACTTTAGAGCATTTATTGTTTTTATGCCCTTGGACTACTAAATGTTGGTTTGGTTGTTGTCTTGGTTTACGGTTTAGTGACAAGGGAGTGATAAGGGTTGAACAATGGTTAGAAGAAATGCTTTTGGTAGCAGTGTCTTGGATGAGTATGGGAAAACCTCCTTAATCACTACTTGGTGGATTTGGAAATGTAGATGTAATTGGGTGTTTAAAGGAGAAAAGGTAGATGCTGATTTTCTGGTCAGAATGGTGCAGATTCAAGTAGGTGAATTTTAGAGGGCTAAGCAAATAAGCAACAAGAAGGCCAAATGATTGTCCCCTACTAGGATCGTAAGGTTAGAGAAATAGGTGCCTCCAACAAAAGGGTCAGTAAAATTTAATGTTGACGGCTCTTTTAATTTTGCTAGGAGGATTGCTGGTGTAAGTGGGATCTGTAGGGATGAGTTTGGCAATGCTGTTGGATGTTTTGGGAGGTCTGTGGATGCTGTTTCACCTTTTATGACTAAAGGATTGGCATTGAAAGAGGCTATGGAGGCTATGGAGTTGAGTTTCAGATTTGATGCAACCCATATCTGCTTTGAGTTGGATTGTGAAGATTTATTTAGAAGAGTTATGAAGGACTCTATTGCTGGTTGTGAATGGCAATGTGTGGATTTATTAAAGGAGATTATCTGTCATAAACATTCTTTGCAAAACATTTCATTCTCTCTGGTGGCAAGACAAGGAAATGAAGCTGTTGATGTTCTTGCAGCTCTTGGTGCAAACGGGATGATGAAGCCTGGTTGGCTTTGTGATATTCCATCCTCTGTTGTTGCTGTGTTATGCAAGGATGTTGATGCCATTTTATCTCAGGACAGTGATGCTCAATGTTTTGATAAGGAGGGAGGGGTTGATTTTGTTTTTTTTTTTTTGTTGTGTTTTTTCTGTTTCCTTGGTTTAGGATTGTACTGTCGGTTTATTTGCTTTCTCTTATTTTTTTATAGATTGTATGTTTAGGATGTTTTACTGCTTTTTGAATTAGTGAGTGTAATTTTTTTGATAATCAATAAAATTGACTTTTTTGGCCAAAAAAACTATAAAACATAACAAATTATAAATAATGATTACCAAAAATAAAATATTTTAAAAGACAAAAGTAAAACTAAAAATACTCATACACCCTCAGTAGCATGCAAAGTTATTTGTAACAAAACAGAGATTCGATGGCCAAAGCTCACTTTGTTAACATTTTTGTTGAATAACAAAAGAAATATTCTTTATTTTTTATTTCTATTCCTATCAAAAGTATTCCATCCAACTAAAAAACAAAAGAATTAATCAAATGAGTTAATAAGGCTATTAAGTTTTATTTTCTTAATTCTATTCTGCAAATTAAACATCAGGCATGTAATTTCCCAAAGTGTGTAGCAATATTTTATTATGGTTTATAAATATTTTTATTTTCTGAAGATAAAAATGCCAAAATTATATCTGTCCTTAGTGATTATCAAATACATTCAGAAGTTTTTTTTTTCATATTTTTTTGACATTCTCAAAATTTAAGTATCATATACCATAAAGTCTTCAAACGTAGAGGGCTTCTCTTTCTAGATTTTTTTTTTATTTTTGAATCGATGGTTAGGTAATTAATTGAAACTTAATTGACTTGATGAGTAGATGGATTTGAATCCCATGATTATAGCAACTAAAGTCATTGAGTGACTTTACCCATATGGCAAAATCTAGGCTCTTTATTAAATCAATGATTTGGATAATCTTATTGCAATCAAAATTAGGAAACACTCAATCCAAATCCATTCAAATCTCCTAAATAATATCATGGAATAAATCTCTACCCTATCTCCCTAAAACGTAATGCATCCTACTTCAAACATACCCAATTGAATGAGAAAATGGACTTCATCATCTTTATTAGATAGGATTTGTCTTTCTAATGTGTAGTTAGTAGGTGTCCAATGAATCAATCAAAAGAATATATATCTTTTCTCAAAACAATGAACCTCTAATGATGCACCTACTTTTCACTGTCCTCCTCGCCTATCTTTTCTTTCAAACAAAAATCCCCTGCACTAGCAGACGAAAACAGCCCACCTTCACGTCCACCCCCTCGGTCACCATCACAGTCCCCTTGACCACACTGCCACAGTTCTCAGATAGAAAGGAAACTGATTCTCAAATTCAAGAGGAAAGATAGAAAGCAAGGAGATATGTGGATTCTGCTAGCACGATCTTACCGAAGATAGTAGGTTTTGTTGGATTTGGAACCTTGTAAACTGCTGACGTTAATGTTGAGGTAGAAGGAAGATGCTGGGCTTCGTCGGACTTGGAACCTTGAGAGCTGTCGACGTTAATGCTGTCTAATCTCTAAATCCTTGAGATTGAAGCCTCAAGTCATGCTTGACCTGCGATTGTGAATTAAGGAAAGGGCATAAATTAATATATCTTCTTCTTTCGAGGATAAAAAATATTATAAAAGACTAATATTTAATTCTTCCCTTCAAAGAAGTTGATGAAATGCAAGAGAAAGTAAAATAAAGTGTTGCATAATTTCCTTCATTTTCATATTGATTGAGGACCAAATATTTGTTTTGGTTTCATTATTTTATTTGTGATCAATTTGTCCTTGTGTGTTGTATAATTCCACTTTGGGAACCGCATTTTCATTGTATTATTTCATATATAGTTAGGTCTGGCAGGGATTGAAAAAGAAGTTTGTGGATATATTGTCTCTTCAATTTTGCATTTCTTTTTAATTTTTGGGTGAGACAGTTATTCATTTCTTCATTACACAGCATTTAGAGTTTTATAGATAGAGAGATTCTACTATTCATAAAATGCTTTGTTATGATTTACATGAAATTTAAACTGATGAAAGAAGATTGTTTGTTTCTCTCATTCTCATTACACATAGCTAATTTAATTAATGATATGTATAAGTTATAATCATTAGTGGTACTGTCTGTATAATTTAATACAAATGAATTTCTTGATGAAATCATCATTATTTGATAGAAAATTTGCAAGTAAAGAAAATAATAAACTGTTAGTATAAAAATAATTTAAAAATGTTAGTATTATCGTTGTAAGGCATGCTTGACTTGTACGTTGGGTAAAGGTACAAATAACTATTGCATAAAAGTTAACCCATAAAAGAAGATGCAAGGAAAGAAAGAAAATTATGTTAGTGATGGGAAGAGGCTTTGTCCCACAAAGTGTTTTGTTATCACTTCAAGAACCATATTTTCATTATCACATCATTGTATAGGTTAAAAGAGCAACCCAAAAGGTATGTTAGTGATAAGAAGATTGACTTGTCCCTTTATGATGAATAGAATTTTACTTCTTGGACCATATTTTTATTTTCATTGTATTATTTCATTTATGGTCAAGTTTGGTTGGCCGTATATATAGAGGGTACCCCAAATGAATGTTAATAGTGATAGAAAGACTTGTGAGTAGCCATAAAAATCTATGATTGGATTTCAAAATTCTTCAGACAAAACAATGTGCAAGTACTTTTATAAGTAGTTTTTGAACTTGAAAGCATGTTGTGCTCAAATGAATTCTCAAAACTCAACTCACCAAACTTTTAAATTTAAGATTCATCAGAGACCGTCACATAGATGTATGTGATGAAAAGGGGGGCGATCAGTTTGAGGACCCAAAGAAGCTAAGTGAGATATAATAAATGTTATAGGTGAAGAATTAATGGCAAGCTAACTGCTAGAGATATTTATATCGGTCATGATGCTTATTGACGCGTCTATGCCCTTCATTTGATTTCTAAGTAAGGATGGTAATGCTTGACTTCAAGTATAAGCTATCCAATTTATCTAAATACAAATATTAAGAAAACAGTTACATTTAATAAGTTGATGTCTAAAAATTTGTTTGTTCTTTCCAAATTAAACCTCGATTAAATGCCATCATCTTTTCAATATCAATTAAATGCATCGTTATCAAGAGTGAGACATGTGATTTTAATCGTTTATAAGATAATTGACATATATACACAAGTTATAATTTTTAATTTCTAATGAGTCGAATAATAATAAACTTGATGAACCTAAATCCCAAACAATGGAACTCAAATTCGAGTTTCAACTTTCAAGTATCTCACTTTTTAAATGGGCTTAAGGAAGAGGCCGGGTCCATTGGTTTGAAATTCCAATGGGCTCATGCAGCTCAAGTTCTTCTCCTTTTTTTTTTGGAATAAAAATGAACAAAAAGTTCATTAAAAATAAATATATCCCGTGAACCATGATATAAAGTCCTGATGATTATTGGATTGAGAAAATTCTATTTCTGGGTTTCATTTGAAGCATTATTCAAGATTGTTTTATCTATAAAATATTATACATACTTCCTCTGTCTTTATATATAAGATGTTTTTAATCGAATCACGCAAACCAATAAAAGTTGTTTGTCTAATTAAAAGCACAACAACATTCCAATTTTACTTCTACTTATTGTTAATAAAAAATGAATCTCTTTTTTAAAGTAAATTAATAAGAGTACTTTTCTTTTTCTCTTTCCAATTTAATAAGGGTATAATGATCCATTCATTAAAAAAATGCTAACAACCCCTTATATTTAGGAACAAAAAAGGTTTTAAAAAACTTCTTATATATAGGACGGAGGGAGTAGTATTTATTATATTTTCTTTTCATTTCAGGCATGATTAAATATTAATTGATATATTTTCTTATATTCGGAGAGGGAACGTGAAAGACTCCTCCTGAGTGTGCTTTCTTTTTATTAAAAAAAATATTGAAAATGATAGCCTTGAATAAATACACAGAGGAGATAATACACAAAAGAAACAGAAACAAAAAACCAATTCCTTCCTCTTTGAAAAAAAAAGATCGTTTCACAAAAAAAAAAAAATCGTGACTGAACATTCAATTATCTATCAGTTCCTTGCTCTACTTTGAAAAACTCCATATACACAAAAAAAATATAATAATAATAAACAGAAACAAAAAACCGAAACTATACATGAAAACAAAGCAAAGCTTGATTTTAAAAAAAAAAATCCTGGTTTGGTGGTTTTGTCTTTTGGGCGACACTAGCTATCAAAATGAACAAATTTCTATTCAAGATTTCTAAAATCCTGGGTTGGTGATTTTGTCTTTAAAATGGAGTACTGGGAACGTTTCAATGGTCATACTACTCATATTCATAATATTTAAATAATTAACAAAATTAATTTGTTATTACGTAGATCAATATTTTAATAAATTGCATGAAGCAACCAAGAGATTGAAAGCTAAGGCACATTCATTTATTCAGTGTGTTTGCAGAAACCATATATGCATGTGTGAATGATCCTTCTTCACAGTTGGACCTTGAGGGCGTTATTCATACTTGGACTCTTAATGTAGTTTATCTTCACCTCATAGCGAAAGGGGCGGTGGGGGAGGAACCCATGTTTTGTTTACTTTCCAGACTTTTTTTTTTTTCTTTTGTATTGTACTATGTCGTTGCAACAATTGAAATATGAAAAGGTAGCTTGTGAATATATATATATATATATAGAAGCACACACATGCAAGCATACCATTCCAAATATTTCATTCCACATCATTGATAATATCGAAAGGCACAAAAGGTACCACATCAAAATTCAACTACTAACCCATATAAATAAAAAAATCAACTAATAACTGGGTAGTCTTTTATACGCCTTTGCTACAATTAGTGGTTGAGCATTGTTTAAAAGTAAACGTTTCACCTCTTTGCACAAAACCTATAAATAAAGGTAAGAAAATTCCTCTCAGCATAATATTATATTTAATTGTTAATTAAAAAAAAACACATGATTCTACAGCATGGCTTGGTTTAGCACTGTTTTTTATTCACAAAAAACAGAGATAAATAGAGTACAACATGGTGAGAAAAATTTTATGGTGGAAGCTCATAAAAATAGCATATAATTTAAAATAAAAATACTATTTATACATAAGTCTTAATCTATGATCAGTCAGCACAATGAATGAATTGATGAAAGATTCATGTCAACATGCTTTGGGGTTCATAATATAAATAAGTTCCAAAATTACATAATAACTTGAAAGGTTAATAGCTCGGGCGTTAACAAAGTGGATGACTTCCATGTTGATTTTAAACTTTTTCAGGTATGATATGTAATGGACCCAAAGATACTGTCACCATAGTATATATAATATGACGCACAGATACAATATGCCATTGAACCAGTTTTAGAAACGTGGCGTCATTTGGATCTGAAAAAGAGTAAGTTATTGAATGTCCAAAAGCTCACATCACAAACAACTCAAAGATATATAATAACTATTTCACTTACTTACTCTTAATATGAGTCTTTAACATCTTGAAACATGTAATGATTTTAAATTTTAAATTAGTATTATAGTAAATAGGGAGTGGTTAATTATTGAAACTCTTATTAATAATATTTTTAAGGTCTAAAGTTCGGATTCTACTATGCATGTAATGACTATAAATTTAAAAAAAAAACATTTGTATCCTAATTTTTTTTGTGCCTTTTCTTGTAATATTCCCAATTTTTTTAATGTTCATATTTCTTCTTCTCTCGGTCATACGCACACTTCAGGGAAAAACAAAAAAAAAATTTGGATCCTTTGACTCTCAATCCGGTTCACCATTTCTGTCTCCCAACGTGCCTCTCGAAGCTTCGGGCGATCTCTCATTGTTGTGTGTGCCCTTAGTCACCGACTTACCCTTTATTCTTATCCCTCTGCCATTTAAAAACAAAAACAGAGCATGTGAAGAGGGAGAGAGAGAGTGATGGAGCGCCCAAAAATTTCCTTCCCTTCGCTGAGTCGATTGCTCCCCTGTACCTCACCGTTGACTGTTCTTGTTGCTGCCGTTGCTGCCTGCTACTCTTCTCTTCTTCTACGTCGTCGGCTGTTGTGGGGGATTGAGTCACCGCTGGTCCGTCCGACTCGTGCCTTCTGTTTCTCTTCTGCTCCTCTGTTTCAGATCGACGAGGCTGTGTTTCCTCATTATTGGTACAAGTATATGGGTGAGTTAAATGGCTTGCTTTCTTTATTTCCTTTATCAGTCATCCATCTACTCATTTTATTGTGCTCAGCAGCAACCTTTATTCCCTGTGCACACGAAACTTTCTCTTCCTCCCCTGTTCGTGTGTGTTAATTCAACTAATGTTAGAAGCTTATATCTCTTCTCCTTCTCTTCGAATAATCCGTGCGTGTAAGTGTAAAATGTGATAAAGTTGAAGTTGCCAATTTTCTCTTGAATTTTGCTGCTGCTGTTCGTGACTGTTGAGAAAGAGAGAGAGAGAGAGAGAAGAGTTTAAGCTGAACTTATGTGCTGAGAGCAAAATTATGATAACTATAGGTTAGAATTTTTGAATTAAATTAGTTTGTTTGGATTGGTTGATATTGAAGAATTGGTTAAGATGAGATTTGGATAAAAGAATTTAGACTTGAAGCTTGTAGAATAGTGCCCATAAGATGCTTAATAAAATGCTATGAGATGGATTTGCTTGATTGTGTATTTTATAAAATTTCTTTGAATTCTTTGAGAGACCTAAGTGAGTTGGATGCTGTTAACTTGTGAATTGAGTTTAGCATTCTATAGAAATTTGCTCATAAATATAATGTTGATATGATTGGTAAGAAATTGCGAGATAAAACATTTGAATGTTGAAAAGGCTTATGGAGGCATTTGGAATTTATGCACAATTGGTGTTTCGATAAAAAAATTTTGAATATGGAAGACACTTATTTTTTTACAATGAAAGATTTGAAATTAGAGATTTTAGGAAAAGAGACTTTATTAGTAATTCAAGACTAAATTATTTATATATATACGTCTTTGGAATATTGTGAAGTGTTTGGTGTGATGTCTGAGAAAGTTTGAAGTTGAAGGTTTTATCTTTTATTTTTAATCACTTCTGGATTGAAGATTTTAGATGATGAGGCATGTATAAGAAAATGATAATGATATTAATTGGATATTAGGAACTTAAAGATCAAGCATTGACACAAGAGTGCCGAGTAGGAGTAAATTTTACGTTTGAGAACATATCAGGTAAGTGGATAGCGTCCCAACTGATTTTTTTCTATTAAAATTTCCTTTACTAAAATTTATGTTTTTTCTGAAAATCATTTTAATAGCATTAATGCGATAAAATTGGATAATTGTTGATTAATATTGTTTTATTTTGAGAAATTAACTTTACCAAATTCGAAATGTTATTTGATCAATTAAATCAAGTTTGAACTTTGATTATGAGATTTTTATTTTATCAAATAATAGATTAATACAGAGAATGATTCATGCGAGTTTGATGTTGAAATTTTTTTTTTCAATAAATGCCAGCATGAGCATCGGATATGAAACTTAATTCTGGCAAGTTTTAATGCTTAAAAGTATTCATGCGAGTTTGATTTTGAGAATGAGAACGGTATTTTAAAAGTGATAATTTTCTCGCATGTTTGAAAATGATTTTAAAAAGGGACTTTATACAGAACACTGGTTGCTAACAGCAGTTCCGTTAGCCCTTGGCGTGCCATGGTACACCTAGCTAGCAGAGTGTTTATAGGAGGTGCTAGCCCTGTGCGGTGGCCAACGCACGTGGAACGGAGGGATGGTTATTCGTGAGCATTGTACTCACGTTTGTTTCCTGGCTTCGTCCGCATTTGGTTACTTACCCTCGTGGACTATGTGTTCACGTTTGTTTCATGGCTTTGGCTGCGCTTGGTTATTGACTCTCGTGGACTGTGTGTCCACGTTTGTCTTCGTGGCAAGAGCCGCGTTTGGCTATTTACCCTCGTGGACTGTGTCCACGTTTGTTAATTGTTTTGATAAGTCCTCGTAACATGAATTTAATGATTTTATATTCCATTGGCTTTAAGTAGTAAATTATTTATAATTTTTTATTTGCTTCTTTGCAATCAAGTGACGATAATATTTCATATGATATTTTAATAGTTAAAGATTTTATTTAAAACTTTATCGAATCCTTTTACTTTCGAAGTTTATTAAATTTTTATGAAAACCGTTGCCTCTTTAAATTGCATGATTGTTTCAAACTTTCCTTTTATTTATGCTAAATTATTTATTGTTGGGACGTTATTCACTGAAAAAAAAATATTTGGGTCTTAGATGGTATAGCGGAACTTGTAACTCAAGGCATCCACTGAAGAGTTTTATTGCTGAATGGAAGCGGAAAAATTATCTTAGTCAAATCCTAGGTTGATGAAAATTTGAACTTTATACTTACGTTGGAACTTGGCTTTAGGTGCTCCCTATAGACTACAGGTAGAATCCTCACATTTCTTTTAAAAATTTAATATCTGATTTAATAATGTAATTATTTTTAATTACCTTATTAGTGTGTTTAATGTATTAATTTCAGAGTTTCTCTGATCACAGCTTAAAAGATGTGAGTTTTGTACCCATATCCCTTGCTAGTCCCACCTTATTTTTGGGGGTGTGACAGACCAGCCCTCCCAATATGGGCTCAAAATGACATTTTTATGCTAAATGAAAATTATTTAGATAATACAAAGCAAAGATATTAACTGAAATACATTAAGTTGTTATTCCTACCTTAAAACTAGTTCTCCATGAGCTCGTTCATTGCATCAACGAACTCACATATCACTAATCCTTCAGAATCAAAAAAGGTGATTAAGCTTTTGCAAATATGATGAAAAGACAATACAGTAATAAATGCTGTGGTAAAATGTAAGATTTAGATTCTTCTACACTAATGAAAGGACTTTTGTTTGTTGAATCTTATATTTCTAAGATATTTAATGGAATCATTAATGAACACTAGAAAAGGATCATCAACGGCCCAGAAAGAGTTTTTGAGAATAGAAATATGATATTGAATGGTGGTTAAAGTGCCCAGAATATTATTAGCTTTAAATAGATAGGGTGCACAACCCTAGACATGTGTATACAAAAATAATATCTATACAAAAGAATAACCTAGAGGCTGTACAAATGATACATAATATCCAGAGTGGTTATAGAATGGGCTCTGCACACTTAATAATATTAGGCTTAATTGACTTGGGCTTGTGTTGCATACATATTGGCTTTGTTTCCACATTCCCCCTCAAGCGAGAGGTGAAAAATTTCAAGAGTCTGAGTTTGTCACGGAATTCCCAAAACTTGGTGTGAAATAATACTTTAGTAAAGACATCAACAACTTGCTCAGATGAAGGAATGTATCAGTAATAACCCTGAAAAATAAAGAAATTAATAATAATATTAAAATTTATAATAATATATTTTTATTGTATTTTATAAATTTTGGAGTAGTTGCAACAATGTGAACGTGTAGCTTTATGGCAATTTTCCTGAATTTTTACCTGTTGCTTCAGAGTTCGAATCTGGGAAGTACCATAGGAGATATTCTATTTTGTTTTGGCATGGCAAAATTTCTAAAATGCCCTTAAAAAACAGAGAACAATCAGGGATTTAAAAACACGCACACGGTTTTCATCCTCTTCTCCATCTTCATTTTTTATTTTTCCAGAATGGGGAGAGAGAGAGAGAGCTCCTATCAAAACTCTATTCTTCAATCGCTATTCTTCGTCCTCGGCCGTCACCAGTGTATAGTCAGGTGATCGTTCGTTTGTTGCTACAGGGGATTCAATCAAGGTTTCAGTCGTTTCTTCTCTTCTGTTCTGGTTCGTGCGTCAGTCCTCCCTTGGTTCTATTTCTTGGTGCCAGAAATCTATCCCTGATTCATGCTGGATGAGCACAGTAACTCGTTGGAGATGAGAGAATTCCAAATCCTTTGTTCTGCAATCTCCGGCCTCCATTTTTTTCCTTCACCTTCGCTTCTTTTATGTTTCTGCACAGTAAATGAGCTCTGTTTCACGTTTGTCATTCGTGGGTCTCGTACTCGCATTTGTTTTTGTGGCTCCAAGCCACGTTTGGTTAGCATCACCCTCGTGGACTGTGTGTCCACGTTTGTTTTCGTGGCATAAGCCGTGTTTGGTTATTTACCCTCATAGACTGTGTGTCCATATTTGTGAATTGTTCTGATAAATCTCCTAAAAATATATGAATTTTAATTAATTGGTGATTTCATACGTAATGGTTTTTAATTTAGTTAATATTGTTATTCTTATTTGTTTATCTAATTATTTTGACTTGTCAAGATTAAATGTTAAAGTTGTTTTGTCATTATAAATTTAAATGTTCTTATTATTGAAGTTATATTGAACTTTTATTTCAAGTTTATAAATTGTTTACATTGAATTACTTTCTCATTTAAATTATGTAACTACTGTATTTTATTCATTTTAACTCTGCAAAATGTTATGGTTGGGACGTTATTCACAAGAAAATAATTTGTTTGGTCTTAGATAGCATAGCTATCGTGGAATCTTCTGCTAACCTTTGACGGGTTTATTGCTGAATTAAGTAGAAGATCAATTATGAGAATATCTTCTTTTATGTAAATTCTAGAATCTATGTTATATGCTTTGAAATTATGATTTAGAGTGCTCCACATTGACTATAGTTAGGATCCTAATTCCCTTTATTTATGTTGTCCATCTATTATTGAGGAGCAAAGCTTCATATTACTAGATATATATGTTGTAATTTTTTTTCTGCAGAGATTTCAGAAGATCCTACTTTTAGGAAAGATGTTGCCAACATTCCTACAAAAAGAAAGAAATTAATAAAAATAAAATAAAATAAAATTTTGAAATATTGATTTTTGTCAAAAGTAAAATTAGATACACATAATTATACTGATAGCGTGTTAGATGTATTAATTTATAAATTTTCTTAATTGAGGCCTTAAGGATATATGTTTATGCATATATCCTACACTAGTCACATTAAATTTTTGGACGTGACAGTATTGTACCACCAATTGCTTCCCAGTACTCGATCTCTCATAAAGTGAATATCCAGTTCAATGTGCTTTGACCGAGCATGAAGAACAGGATTGGAAGCTATAGCAGAAGCGCTAAGGTTGTCACACCACATGACTGGAATTTGCTGAAGAGGAAGACCAATTTCTGTGACTAATTATGCTTCATCTTCATCAGGTATTCATTCATAGATAGCACTCCTTTTCAGGTTTGTTGCATCTCAGCTTTTAACATGAGGATTTGAAACTTAGTTTGGGCCCTTGCTAAGGCTCAAGCAGCTTTCTAGAGACCTTCGGCAATGCAGACATACATCATTTGAGAAGAGACGTTGAGGGTCATGGTGTTTAAGAGCCATCTGAATAAAATTTGATCAGCAATGACCCAATCTTCGAACTCGAGATTAAGCTTGATGGAAGTGCCTTCAATAATGAACTGAGTTAGGTATCGCTTTGTGCCATTACGGAAGCCTTCAAGCTTAAAGCCTTTAATAATGGGAAGCACATGCATTTGCCACAGTGAGTAATTCATCCTGTCCAACTTGACAGCACACACTTGAGGAAGAGAGGTCGGTGCACCAAAAACTTTGCCAAGATTAGTAGCAGCCAAAAATGAGCTTCCAATATTAGCAATCTTGGAGTTACTAGAGCCTCGTGAAGGTGAGTTTTCAATCGTCATTCTCCCCTCAGGCTCTGATACCAAGAAAGAGTTTCTGGGAATAGAAATATGATATTGAATGGTGGCTACAGTGCCTAGAATATTATTAGCTCTAAATAGATAGGGTGCACAACCCTAGACACGTGTATACAAAGACAATATCTATACAAAAAATAACCTAGAGGGCTGTACAAATGATACATGATATCCAGAGTGGTTATAGAATGGGCTCTGCGCACTTAGTAATATTGGGCTTAATTGACTTGGGCTTGTGCTGCACACGTATTGGCTTTATTTCCACAAGCCCCACATTGTTTTATGCAAATGTCAAATATTAGTCACTGAATTCTCATAAACCAACTAAATTAAGCCTGACATACCCTATATATTCATCGCCAGAATCAAGTCTTCCATATGTTTATAGGCCCCACAATAATTACTTGCTCTTTTGCTATATGAAGACCGAGGAAGATGTAGATGCTGTAATTTAATTCCACGGATTACACAAACAACTTATTAGGATGCCTTGGTTCATTTTAATAAGTCATAACAGTTTGATTCTATATTTTTTTCGCAATATAATTTGCTATCTGATAGCAACAATGTAATCTGTACAATGCAAATCTCAATTAATGGGCTTATGCTATTGGAAATTGTGCCCTAGGGCCAATCATTGTACTATACACATTGTTATTTAATGAATTCTCTTTTGTTATCATATCAATTGCATGTTCAATATGATAACTGTATCCTTAGACAAACTATAGTGATTGTCTTAAATGTCCCTAGTCGGTCATCTATCAGGGATCATAGATAAAACAAAACTAGTATGACTTTGATTAATTATAGAGATACAAATCAAAGTCATAAGCACTTGAAAGAGTACAAGGTGCTGGACTGACCCGCTATGAGAAAGCTGCATGGTACAAGTCACAAGCTTATCTCATATATAACTATATCACTAAGCCCTTTGACCTGAGTTCATTATGGATTTCTACATGATGACCACTAAACTTTAACCTAGTCAAAAGTCACCTTTGATCGGGTGATCATAAAGGTTATGATTGAATTTAGTGATATTCATGCAGAGGAATATGAGTGGTCAAGATGGAATTTGTCCCTCACATTAAGTGAGAGATATTACTGGGGCCCTCGATGAGTAAGACTGAGAAAATGTATGGCCATACTACAATAGAAAGGGTTTTTCCATTGCTACAGTCAGTCTACTCAGAGATCAAAAAAGTAACGGTCAGGTAAAGGAGAATGGCAATTCCATGTTTCACACTTGACGAAATATCGCGTGATAAAAGGGATGTGATACAGTTGCATGATAGGTTACATCGAATCATCGATCCCCATGTGAATTGGGTAGTTGCAATGTCTTGCTAGAGGCCACTTGTGACTTGTAGGCTAATAGCGTAATTAGCCTACTGTCAATTTCACATAGGCCTATAAGGTTGAACACAAGAACAGCCCAACTTGAGCTATAATGTTCAAGTTCATTAAATCTGAAATATGTCTAGATTCAATGAATGTAATATAAGGTGAATGAATTTTATATTTATATATATATATATATTTGAATATTTATTTGATAAATATATATATATATATTATATGAAATTTAAAATTTGAAATATAATTATATATATATATTTGAAATATATATGTGTATATATATTCGTGTATATATATATATATAATATAATATGTATATGTGATATATATTATATTATATTATGTTAGTTTTAAATTTAATTTTATATAATAGATTAAATTTAATAACTAACATGATATGAGAGAATATCATGTCAGTTTTATAATTTAAATTTATAAGATAAATTTGAATTAGATATGATATCATGGATTAAATTTATGAGATAAATTTAATTAAATTTTTGTGGGCTTTTAAGTGGAAGATGAAAACCCTAATCCATATACTATATATAGATAGGGACGTCCTTTATGAAAGAGGAGAGAGTTAGAAAAGTTTTGATGGCAAAAATACTTTGAAAGCTACAAAACACCTTATAGAAAGGAAAACTAACATTCAAAGAAGAACGGACGCTAGGAGCGCTAGCATACTACTCAAGTTAGAGAGCTATTCGTGTGAATACTGGTAGAGGGAGCAGATCTATGTTGTCAGCTCTTGAGATCCAAACTCTAGAAGAAAACATACACCCAATTTGAAGAATTAAAAGGTAACATTTCTATCCACCTTGACTTAAACGAGTTTATTCAGTCCATATCAAGATAGGAACTTTAAAATTTTAATCTTTCGCTACGCCTCCCTATCCAACACATGCTGCTATCAAGTTCCCTTGTAATTTAATTTTTTAATAACTAATGAGAAAGAAGAGCATGAACCAAAAAAGAGAAAAAAAATTAAATTTCAATATTTTATGACTAAAATATAGAGAATAGAAATGAGAAGAAAGATGAGGAGGAGGAGCACAGAGGCAATGAAAATGAGGATGATGTCACGAACTAGGCCAAAATATTATTATGGGTCCAAATTTCCTTTTAAAGGCTAAAAAGAATGGAGGCAAAAAATGACTTGTGAGCTGGGTGTTATTTGAATGGGCCATCAATTAGTAAATGGGCCTTGTGTTTTAAGAATATTTAGAGAGGAATTAGGGCATACTATCAAAGAATTATGAAAGCCATCTCCCTCCTGTCTCTGCTTCTCTTATCTCTTTAGTTCTTCCTTTTGTCTGTTCTTCTAATATTCGTTGTTGATGCTTAATTTTTAGTTGTAATTAGCTTGGTCGAATATACCTATGTCTTAAGCTTTGTTGATTTATGAACATTTCCAGTTGAATATCAGTGTTCTTCTATTATTTCCTATAATTTTTGCTTGTAAGCATTAGTGATTGTGACAAAGGTGCTTTCATTAAGAAACCTAATGGCAGAACACACCATATTGGAAGAGATGCTTGCGAATATTAAGAAGTACACCAATCACTAGGATTGAATTGAACATGCCATAGATAAGCTGCACCAGTCTGTTTTAGAGCTTTCTCACAATCACGGGCTCTTGACTCAATGATCCGCCACTAGGTCTTTGGACTATAGAGCAATGGTCACCACCGAGATGTCACAATCAAGTTCTAAGCCAAGTGACACAATCGAACCTCTGAAAGTGGTGCGCTACTCACCGAGACCAACCACATCAGAGATAGAAGTCAACTATCCTTTAGCTATTGTTGAAGGAGGATGACACTAATAACTGCACAACTCTCATCCCCTTGAAATCTGGTACTTACACTATAAAAAATATGACTTTTGGAAGCGACTTTTTAGTCACCAC